CTCCTATTCGAAAGCCTGGCAGAAGAGCTCCATCTTGCAGGCCGTGCGGAACTGCAACAAGTCCCGCGGGGCCCTGATCTCCTCCGGGAGCTCATTCCACCAGATAGGAGCCGCCACCGAAAAGGACCTGGCCCTAGTGGCCGCAAGCCTGGCCTCTTTCGGGCCCGGGATCGCGAGGCGATGTAGCGACCCCGACCGAAGTGCTCTTTGGGATCTATGTGGGGCAAGGCGGTCCCTCAGGTATGCTGGACCCTGGCCATGCTATTAGCCCTCCAGTGTATTAGGTGCTTGCACCCACATCTTTTCTGGAGGATTTACCTTTGGCTGGCTTCCTATTGGGTCTTGCAGTTAGGTTTGCCAGATTTAGGTGGGAAAATACCTGGATATTTTGGAGATGGAGCCTGGAAAGGGCAGGCCTTGTGGGTGGTAGGGACCTCAGCAGGCTCCAATATCATAGAGTCTGCCCTCCAGAGCAGCCATTTTTTTCCAGGAGAACTGATCTCTGTCATATGCAGATCAATTATGATAGCGGGAGATCTCTAGGCCCTGCCTGGAGGTTGGTAACCCTACTTAGGTAAAGGTAAAGGTTTCCCTTGCTCGAAAGCCAGTCGAGTCCGTCTCTAGGGTTGCGGTGCTCATCTCCGTTTCAAAGCTGAAGAGCCAGCGCTGTCTGAAGACGTTTCCGTGGTCATGTGGCCGACATGACTAAACACCAAGGTGCACGGAACACTGTTACCTTCCCACCGAAGTGGTACCTATTTATCTACTTGCAGTGCTGCATAATCATAGAATCATAGAGTTGGAAGGGGCCATCCAGACCATCCAGTCCAACCCTCTGCCCAACTCAGGACCAGCCTAAAGCATCTCTGACAAATATTCGTCCAGACTCTTCTTGGGAGCTGTCAGTGAAGGGGAGCTAACCACCTCCCTAGGCAGCTGATTCCACCTTTGAACCACTCTGACTGTGAAAAAGTTTTTCCTAATATCCAGCCGATACCTTTCTGCATGTCATTTAAACCCGTTGCTTCGGGTCCTATCCTCTGCCGCCAAGTGGAACAGCTCCTTGCCCTCCTCCAAATGACAGCCTTTCAAATATTGAAAGAGAGCAATCATGTCCCCCCTCAATCTCCTCTTCTCCAAACTAAACATTCCCAAGGCCCTTAGCCTTTCCTCGTAGGGCTCAGTCTCCAGACCCCTGATCATCCTCATTGCTCTCTTCTGCACCCTCTCCATTTTGCCCACATCCTTTTTGAAGTGAGGCCTCCAGAACTGTGCACAGTACTCCAGGTGTGGCCTGACCAAGGCAGTATACAGAGGGGTTATGACCTCCTGCGATTTTGATACTATGGCCCTTTCAGGGCTCTTTTTGTAGCAGGAACTCCTTTGCATATTAGGCGACACACCCCTAATATAGCCAATCCTCCAAGAGCTTACAGAGCTGTTCTTACAGGGGCTACTGTAAGCTCTTGGAGGATTGGCTACATTAGGGATGTGTCGCCTAATATGCAAAGGAGTTCCTGCTACAAAAAGAGCCCGACAACCCAAGACTGAATTTGCCCCTTTTGCCACCGTATCGCACTGACTGCTCATACTTAGTTTACAGTCCACCCTTACCCCAAGATCTCTTTCGCATACACTAATGATGGGTCTAAGTCTCTGTGGCCTTGGGCTCTGAGAAAGGGGGGTCGAGCGTTCCACCGAGAGTGGGACTGCCAACCTCCAGCTGGTCTCTGAATGGCAAAGGAGGAAATGGCAGCTTCAGAGGTTGGACTCTATGGCATCACACCCCTGCGGAGAGCTTCCTCCCTGCCCCAACCTCTGCCCTCTGCAAGCTCCACCCCCAGATGTCCAGGAATTTCTGAAGCCAGAGTTGGCATCCCTGGAAAAAGTAATCAACATCCTCACTGCCTATGGTTGCCAGGTCTGGGTTGGAAAATACCTGGACATGGTGGGGTTGGAAAATACCTGGGGGGGGGGCTGGAGATGATGGGGTTTGGGGGAGGGGAGGGGCCTCACTGGGATCTAATGCCATAGAGTCCATCCTCCAAAGCAGCCGTTTCCTCCAGGGGAACTGATATTGGTTGTCTGGAGACCAATTGTAATGGCAGGAGATCTCCCGGTGCCACCTGGAGACTGTCAACTCTATCACTGCCCCTCCCCTATTAACTGGCCCTGCTCTTGTACCTTTAACAGGCTGCTGCAAATGCATGCAGGTAGAGCTGGGGAAGCTTTTCCTGGTATGGGAATAAATAGTGGGGAAAGCTCCACTTGCTTCATTTCCAAGTGAGGCTGCCATTAATGTTACAGGAGCAGGCTTGATGAGAAGGTGGCGGCCCTCCTTATTTGCTGTGGGCCCTGGCAGGGTTGCCAACCCTTGCAGTCTGGCAAGACTCCTGTATGGCAAGGCAGAAATGCAGACCTGTTTTCTCCCTGCAAAGGCTGCAGCAGGAGAAATTTCTTTCCCATCTGAATGCCCACTTGTCATGCAGCAGAGTACAGGAGGCCTGCCAGAAAAAAATATGGCAGCCTAACACCTGCTGACACCCCTCCTCTGCACACCTTTTAGAAGGTGTGGGATGCTCCTTGGTAGTCTGGTCACCCTAGTTAAATCCCCTCTGCATTTTCTAAGTAGTTTCTCATTGTGAAGAGTGGAATGGCTCTTTCATAGGGTTGCCAAGTGGCACTCACCTCCTCCGCGGGGGACTCCCGGGTGGCTCCCGGCGCGCGTGTGAAGTGCGCGTGCACCGCATGCACGTCACTAGGAAGTGACGTTATGACGCCGGGCACGCTGGGGGCCGGGGCACGACCATACAAGGGAAGTGATGTTATGACGCCGGGCACGCTGTATGGCCGTGGCCCCGCTCCCAGCGTGCTTGGCGTCATAGCGTCACTTCCTGGTGACGCGCACGCCGGGGCGGGGTTTCCCCCGGGGCCTGATTCCCCGGCGTCGGGGAATGGGCCTTTGGGGCGGAGGTTTCCTCGCCCCTCGGGGCGACTTGGCAGCCCTACTCTTTCAGGAACCCTGTTAGGTGGTGCAACCATGCTGGGTATTCAGAACAGTGACAAGCAGCCATTCACGTTATGAAAAGCTAAACTTGAAAAGAAGCCTGACACCTTTCATGCCTGGTTTTTTTTTCTCTTTCATTGTAGGAACGTATGATTTACCAGTACCCCAGAAGCAGTCCTTCATCTACAACACCAATAATAAATGGGTGCCAGTACTTTGATGCCAAGGAGCCCCTGCAAGGGTTTCTTTTGCCTGTGAAACAGACAAGCAAAAATAATAATCCATCCATTTGGAATCCTGTATTTCCTTTTAGTGGATCACTGAACCATCCCTTGCTTCATTCTCAGGAGTGGGGCCAGCTACCAAAAAGGGAAAGCCGTCCTAAACCAGGAATGGCTGCTGGTTCTCCTGCTTTCCCTCCTGGTCTGCACATGGAGCTGTGGCATGGGAGGGCCCAGCAGTGGCCTCTTCATTTACAAATCTCTTAAAGCAACTGGGTCATCTCTGGATTAGAAGTTGGGGAGGCCTAGGACCAAAACTAAGATGGCGGGAGGGGCAGCTTGAACTGATTTTGGGCTGGTTTTTGGAAGCAGAGAACCATAATGAAGTCCACATAATGTTGTGTGAAGCTGTGCAAAAGCAAAAAGTCTTGCCCATCACACCACCTCTGCAAGCAAGCAAGGGGAGGGGGAACCTTCTCTAGTTATCTGCCTCTACAAAGGCCTCCTTCCTTTGGCCACCAGGATTGGCAAGGACCTTCTCCCTGGCCTTTACTGTACGGTTGTGGGCCTAATAAGGGCAGCCAAGATTACTAAGGGGGTCCAATCATTGTTGTAAGGACAGAGATCAAGATGGGTAGCCATGTTAGTCTGTCTGTAGCAGTAGAACAGAGCAAGAGTCCAGTAGCACCTTCAAGACTAACAACATTTGTGGTAGGGGATGAGCTTTCGTGAGTCACTGCTCATTAGGCTTGCCAAGGCCCCCCCCCAGGGGGCGGGGAAATCCCTGCCCCAGAGACCCGTTCCCCGCCGCCGGTGGATCGGGCCCCGGGGGGACCCCACCCCGGTGTGCGCGTCACCAGGAAGTGACATTATGACGCCGGGCACCAGGGGTCATTTCATAGAAAAAGAGCTAGGGGGACTCATTAGCATAACTCATTAGCATATGCCACACCCCCTGACATCACCGGAAGTGTGTCCTCCCCACAGCCGGCGGCGACCTCCAGCGGGCACCAGCAGGGAGCTCCAGGCCCCGCCCTCCCGCACCTCACCCGGGGGGATGGCGTCCCCCCGCGTCCCTCCCCAAATGACCTCTGCTGGGCACACTGGGGGCGGGGCCACAATCATCCGAGGGAAAACTCTATGGTTTTCCCTCGGATGGTCGTGGCCCCACCCCCAGCGTGCCCGGCGTCATAACGTCACCTCCTGGTGACGTGCGTGCGTGCTCCAGCCACGGACCGGGAGTCCCCCGGTAAGAAGATTTTTCAACTTGGCAACCCTACTGCTCATTAAGTGACTCTTGCTCTTTTCTGCTGTAAGGAAAGGCTGAAGATCCTGGGGCTTTTCAGTTAAAGGGGCGACATGATAGAGGTTTGTTAAATTATGTATGGGGCAATAGATTCAGGATGGACAAAATTAAATCCTTTATTCAATGAGTAATGAAATTGTGAAATTCACTGCCAGGGAATGTGGTTGTGGCCATGAGCATGGCTGTATTTCAATAAGGGATTAAACAGATTCATGAAGGAAAAGAGGCCCATCATTGGCTACTAGCGTTGGTGACTAAAGGGAACCTCCATGTTTCAGAGAAAGTCTATTTCTGAATGCCAGTGCTAGGACAAAACATCAAGGGAAGGTCTTGGCCTCTCTGCCCTGTTTGGCCCTCCGGGGCAGCTGGTCGGTGGGCGACTGTGTGAGACAGGATATGGGACTAGATGGACCACCACTCTGATCCAGCAGGGCTTTTTTATTCTGTCATAATTGCCACCCAAGCTTCTGCCTCTTGGTAGAGAAAATAGGGTGAACTTTTGGGCAAATGCTAGAGTGTCCCCTACACAGCATGCCCGGCACAATGACATCACTTCCGGACGACGTCATCACTTCACGTGCATGCAAGTGGATCCCAGGGAACCGCATGGAGCCCCCCGCCAGCAGACGATAAGCACCTGGCAACCCTAGTTGCAACTGATTTCCAGACAATGGAAAATGGCTCTTTAGAGCAGAGGTGTCAAATTCATTTATTACAAGGGCCGGAACTGAAGAAGCAGAAGAAGAGATTGGATTTATACCCTGCCCTTCACTTGGAGTCTCAGAGCGGCTTACAAACTCCTTTCCCTTCCCCTCCCCACAACAGACACCCTGTGAGGTGGGTGGGGCTGAGAGAGCTCTGACACAAACTGCTCTTTTTCAAGGACAGCTGTGCCAGAGCTTGTGACTGACCGAAGGTCACATCAGCAGGTGCAAGTGGAGGAGTGGGGAATCAAACCCGGTTCTCCCAGATTAGAGTCTGCGCACTTAACCACTACACCAAACTGGTGACAAATGTTACTTTGTCAGGCTGGGCCATGTGTGGCATAAAATGTAATGCCAGGTACAAGAGATATAAACTTTATAAATGACACAGGCAAACTAAATTAACTATATTATTTTTTACTCACAAACTAAAGCAATTGATTCCTAGGAGTGAAAGCAATTGATTCGCTGCAAAAATCCACAAAAGACCCAATAAGTGTATTTAATCATATGCAAGACTAGTTTTTTCCCCCAAGGGATACAATAAAAGGAGATGGGATAGTCTTACATTTCCATACAAGTTAGTTGCTTTTTGTATATATAGCAGTTTTAGGAGATGAGTCATCTACCTTGCAAGTAAATAAGGTAGTTTTCAGCACTCTCCCATGGCCAGCCTCAGCAGCCAAGCACAGTCATGATCCACCTCTCACTCTTTGTTTCCTCTCTTCCCCTGTCCTACCTCTGAGGATTTTGAGGGGGCACACCAGACTTCCCCCCTTCCACCACCCCATCCACACCACCATCAGCAACCCTATTGAATGAGCAACCAGTCCTGGGTGACCCAAACAACAGGGTCCCAGCCAATGTTCCCTCTAAACTGTTGAGTCTTGTGAGCAAAAAATCTACTTTGTGAGCTACTGGTATTAAAGCTGTGAGCAAGTGATTTGGCTACTGCATACATTAGTTTGCTCTGGAGCCATCTTTCCTGAGCTAAGACAAAAATGTGTGAGCCGGAGACTAAAAAACTGTGAGCTAGCTCACACTAACTCAGCTTAGAGGGAACACTGGTCCCAG